CCATTGAGATTAGGATACTGGACAGTTGGCCAGATTATTACTATCTAAATGATTTTTTTTTTTTTGTGAGGAAGACCAGCCCTGAGCTACAATCCAACGCCAATCCTCCTCTTTTTTGCTGAGGAAGACTGGCCCTGGGCTAACATCCGTGCCCATCTGCCTCTACTTTTTATATGGGACGCTGCCACAGCATGGCTTGCTAAGCGGTGCGTCAGTGTGCGCCCGGGATCCGAGCCAGCGAACCCCGGGCTGCCGCAGCAGAGTGTGCACACTTAACCGCTTGTGCCACCGGGCCGGCCCCTAACTGATTTGTTTTTTTAACACCAGCCTTTCAATATTCCAATTTCAACTTTGAGTTTCAGCAAAATTAGAGATTACTTACATGTCGTGGATCTTGGGTTGGTTCATGAATAGTTGCATCTGTAGGTGTTAAATGTGTAAATACCAAGGGCCTTCTGTAAAGTGCCTGGCAAATATCAGGGGCTCAAAAGGTAGGCCTTTGAGAGAATTTTTCTCAACTTCCTCACCTTTAAGCATCCAGGTTAAGTGATGTGGTCATGATCCTGAGGCTGTTGAGGGGTGGAGCTGGATCAGATGCTCCTGGCTCATAGACTTCTCTGATACTAGCATCTATCAACGCTGGCTGGGATTTTTGCCAACAACTCCCATGCACTGTCTGTTTTAAAGGGAAGAGCTCTTTCCTGTTAAGGCTTTTAATAAAACCAATTGGTGTACTAATTGAGTCCATGCTTATATACACCGTATCACTTTTTATCCTAAAACATGTCATATGCCTTAGGTTTTTTCCTACCTGGTGTGACATGCTAAAGGTGATATTCTTGGCTATACTGGCCTGGGTGTGTGTACTTTGTCCCTAGGACCTGTGCCCTTGTGACTTCTTGCAGCTCCCCAATAATGCCTAATGAGTTGTAGTTCCCTGCTTAAGCCATGCTATTTCAAGATTTCTGTGACTCTGCATGTTTTGTTTTACTGCCTGGAAAAAACTGTCCCCTCCCCTAGTCTCTCATAGTCTAAGGGTCTAAAGCCTTCTTTAATCTTGAGCAGAGTTCATCTTGCCTTACTTTGATCTACCCATATCATTTGTTGCATACTTCTGTCATAGCATTTATCACACTGAACTGCAATAATTTCTCAGCACACTTAGCTTCCCTATTAGACTACGAGGGCAACGCTAGTTAACATTTGAATTGTTATGTGAGCAAAATAAGGAGATTTTATGAAGTACAGTATCTTTCCTTCCTGAACAAGGAACTATAGGTATCCTTAATGGATTCCATTAATCCTTGTCGGGGAGTTTCTGCTCACGTTGTCATACTCTAGGAATAATATATGCAACTGAGCAAGAAGTCCAAGGCGGGCTGTGTTTTGGTTCCTGTATTCTCTTTTGCCTTTGTTTGGTATTGCAGTCATTTGAATCACACATGGTTAGACAGCATGGGCAAGCATCAGAATCAGAATCACATTATGAGCTAGGAAGTTAGTGGGGTAAGAGATCTTATTAACTCATTGAAGGGAAAGTGGTATTATGGGAAAAAATTCTTGAGTTATGCTGAAGTAGCCATAGCTTTTCCAGTTTAGTTCATTATCTCTGTATCCATTAAAAATGGGTATGCCTGTCTTGTTAATTATAGCCATTCTGACGGGCGTGAGGTGATATCTCATTGTAGTTTTGATTTGCATTTCCCTGATAGTTAGTGATTTTGAACATCTTTTCATGTGTCTGTTGGCCATCTGTATATCTTCTTTGGAGAAATGTCAGGAAACAACATGTGTTGGAGAGGATGTGGAGAGAAGGGAACTCTCATACACTGCTGGTGGGAATGCAAACTGGTGCAGCCACTATGGAAAACAGTATGGAGATTTCTCAAAAAATCAAGGATAGAACTACCATATGATCCAGCTATTCCACTGTTGAGTATTTATCCAAAGAACTTGAAAACACCAATTTGCAAAGGTACATGCACCCCTGTGTTCATTGCAGCGTTATTCACAATAGCCAAGACTTGGAAGCAACCTAAGTGCCCATCAAGGGACGAATGGGTAAAGAAGCTGTGGTATATATACACAATGGAATACTACTCAGCCATAAGAAACGATGAAATCCAGCCATTTGTGACAACATGGATGGACATTGAGGGTATAATGCAAAGTGAAATAAGTCAGAGGGAGAAGGTCAAATACCGTATGATTTCCTTCATTAAGTAGTAGATAATAACAACAATAAACAAACACATAGGGACAGAGATTGGATGGGTGGTTACCAGAGGGGAAGGGGGGAGGGAGGAGGGTGAAAGGGATAATTGGGTACATGTGTGTGGTGATGGGTTGTAATTAGTATTTTGGTGGTGAACATGATGTAATCTATGCAGAAATAGAAGTACAATGATGTACACCTGAAATTTTTACAATGTTATAAACCAATGTTACTGCAATAAACAAAAAATTAAAAAAAAAATGGGTATGCCATTTTTAAACTGTGATTATTTCGTTTCTAAGTGGGTTTTTTGAGAATGCTATCAGTATTATAAAAGAATATACAAAAATACTAAATTGCAGTGTTTGTGATTACTTTTCAGTGATGTGGCCTTTATTTTTTATTTTAAAGGATATTAAAAGATTAGATGTTTAATTTACTGTATTTAACCAGACTTTCCTTCAGCAGAAGCTAGCAACCCCTGTCTTCGGCCCTCCCCAAGTTTTTATGTGCTATACAATATGTTAGGTACTAGGGAGTATTATGGTAAGAAAGACATTAGGTTTCTTCACTTAGTTCCTGTGAACTTCTGAAATTCGGAATAAGTTTTGCATGAGGTATTAAAAATTTAGTTTAGAATTGTGACATCTTTATTTCATAGACCAATTCTTTTAAAGTGTGTATGTGTGTTTAATTACAAAAGTAATACATTTTTAAAAAAGAAGCATAGTGTAGCATTTTAGGCTGAGTGTGGACCCTGACACCAAATTACCTGGATTCAAATCCCAGCTCTGCCATTTACTAGCTGTTTAATCTTGAGTGTGTTATTTAACCACTTTGTGCCTCAATATCCTTATATATAAAATGTGGGGTAATGAAAATACCTACATCATGGGAGTATTGGGAGTGTTAAACAAGTTCACACATGTGAAATATATAAAACAATGCCTGGCATATTCTAAAAGCTTGATATATTTTAGATATTATTACAGTTGAAATAATCCAGAAATGTAGAATTCCCCAAAATCATAAGAGCATAGTGAATATTCTGTCAGATTTTATCTCACATAGCATAATCTTTTAAATTTATTTTTTAACCTACGTACAGTAAAAATCACTTTTTTATGTACACTGTGTGAGTTTCAACAAATGCATTATCTTGTAACCATCACTGCAATCAGGAAACAGAACAATTTCCTCAGCCCCTAAAAATTCCCCTGTGCTGCCCTTTTGTAGTTAACCCTCTTCCACCCCTAAACTTTGGCAACCACTGATCTGTTTCCTCCTCCTATTGTTTTGCCTTTTCTAGAATGTCATATAAATAAAACCATACAGTGAAAAAGAAATCATACCTTTTGAGTCTGGCTTCCTTTACTCAGCGTAATGCAATTGAGATTAACTCAAGACATTGCATGTATCAGTAGTTTGTCTTAATTGCTGAGTACTGTTCTGTTCTGTGGATACAGTACAGTTTGTTTATCCATTCACCTCCTGACTGACATTTGTGTTGTTTCCAGTTTTTGGCAATTACAGATAATGCTGTTATAAACAATTGTGTACAGGTTTTTGTGTCAACATAAGTTTTCATTTGTCCTGGATATTCAGTAGTGGGATTGCTGGGTTATAGGGTAAGTGTACATTTAACATTTTAAGAAACTGCCAAACCGTTTTCCAGAGTGGCCACACCATTTTGCGTTTTCCCTGAGCTCACCTCTTTTGCCAATCTTCCTCTTTTTGCTGAGGAAGATTGGTTCTGAGCTAACATCCATGCCCATCTTCCTCTATTTTGTATGTGGGACACTGCCACAGCATGGCTCGATGAGCGGTGTGTAGGTACGCACCCGGGATCCGAACCCACAAACCCCAGGCTGCCAAAGTGGAGTGCGCAAACTCAACTACTACGCCACCGGGCCGGCCCCTCCAACAGTTTATTTTAAAACACTGTTTATGTTCTTCTGGTTATGAGGACCCCCAAAGTAATCCTTTGGCAAATAGTTTAGGAAAGTGAGTGAGGAGTCTGACTTCTAATTAACCTTTCAGCTCATAAAGAGCCAGTTTAAGACCAATTGACCAAAGATATTACTTTCAGATTCCAATGTAAAAAATTAACATTTCTAGATTTTTAAAAAAATTTTTAGTGCACTCTGTAAAATTACCATCACTTTTAAGCATAATTACCCTGAGGAAGCTGTTAGTCTGTTAAGTCTAAAAAAAATTCTGGAATATTTTAAGATTTTGTGTTGGATAACATCCTGGAAAAGAAAATGTACAGTTTTATGTTAATACTAATAACTGGATAAAAAACAAAGGCTTCTTATCCTAGAGAGCTTTTTGTTAGGGGATCAGACAATTACTCTGTTGAGAGTATCAATTTCTGTTTATTTATTTTTACCCCCCAAAGCCCCAGTAGATAATTGTACATCATAGCTGCACATCCTTCTAGTTGCTGTATGTGGGATGCGGCCTCAGCATGGCCGGAGAAGCAGTGCGTCGGTGCGTGTCCGGGATCCGAACCTGGGCCGCCAGCAGCGGAGCGCGCACACTTAACCGCTAAGCCACGGGGCCGGCCCGAGAGTATCAATTTCTAATGTACTGACAACTTGTTAGACCTGAAGGACATGTAAGAGAGTCACCTTTATGGTATTCAAGCTCTTATATCCTTTGTCAGAGCCTTTTCTGTGGCCCTATAATTAAAGAATATTTTATGCATCATTTTGAAATTGTATTTGGGCAGGGCAGTTAAATGTATAGTAACAAAATATATCCATTTTTTTATATCTTTCAGAATCATGGTGTCATGGAAAGGGATTTACTTTATACTCACACTGTTTTGGGGAAGCTTTTTTGGAAGCATTTTCATGCTGGGTCCCTTTTTACCTTTGATGTTTATAAACCCATCTTGGTATCGCTGGATCAACAACCGCCTTGTGGCAACCTGGCTCACACTTCCTGTGGTAAGTTACACGCCAGAGAAGGAGACTGTCTGTACCAAAGTAGCCCAACCTATGGATTTTTGTTTTGTTAGGCAGATTTAGTCAAATGTTAGAAGAAACATTTAAGTCCTTCCTATTATGTAAGCAGCACATTAGAATTTAAAGAGGGAAATATAGAAACTAGAGAGAAATAAAAATAATTCATGTCCTTGAAGTAAAATATCTAATTAAGAGCCAGCCATATTCCAAAGTTGGGTTTCTTCCATATTCTTCATAAATTTTCTTTTTCATTTTCTTTCAGTGAGGTATGATATGCATATAGTAAAATGCAGAAATCTTAGACAGATAGAAGAATTTTTACATCATTAATTTTATTTTGTATTTTCATTTATTTTACAAAACAATGACAAAAAATAAGATTCAGATGAGAAACTTCTCTTAAACTTGTGACAATGATGTGATTGATTTAATTCTTCCCCATAACCATAGAATTTAGGAATAAAGTAATTTCCTATCTGTGGGCTAGGTTAACAACATTTGTAAGTTAGATGTGCATACAAAATGAGTAGGAGATTCTTGGAAGAGCCAGGTATTCTCTGTAAGGTCAGTGCATATTGCTCTGAGCACATCTCTCTGATCCTGAGCTGACAACTTCCTGCAGGATTCCAGTCCAGACTCCTCCCTTGTCTAGGACTGAAGGGGCTTCAGTCCTTCACTGTTGCTGCTAATCAGCAGTGCCTTCTCAAAAAAATGGACTGATGTGCGTGCAGCTGCCTTTACCTTGAATAGGCTGTATTTCCCGAGAGTGTTCTGTTCCTTCTTTTTTCTGAGCAACACCCAGAACTTAATGTTACTGGGTTTATTGACCTGTTATGGTGGAGGTGATGAGTATAATACCTGAAAAGGAAACTGAGAAGGGAATCCTCTTCCTTCAGTTGCTGAAGGATTTCTTCACCTCTTTCTTTTGAATTGAGTTGTCTATTTCCCCTCAGGTGGATTGCCATTGTTATTTGTAGAGAGGAAAGTATCCTGCTAATGCTATAACACCTTCAGGTGGAGGTTGATTGGGAAATATTTCCAGAAACAGTGGTGAGTGTACCTATCTTGATGGAGTAGATGTTTCTTAAACCTTCTGTAAATTGGATGTTAATAAATCATTTATAGTGCACCCTTTTTTTCATATTTTAAAAAGGAATCCTGTGATGAATAATTTTACAAATTGTGTTCATCTTGTTTACAAGGTTAATTTGTTTTTAAATTTTTATTCAGATGTCTGTTTTATGAAACATGATCCTATTAGACTAAAAGTAGTCCCTACTTCTCTCTGTCCCTCCACCCTCTTCCCTTCCCTTTTTCTTTTCTCTGTTTGCACTTAAAGCTGTCTGGACTACAGGCACAAAGAAAGTGATTGTAGCATACTAATAGATAATAAATAACTGTGATATGGTTGCATATTTAATTCAGATATAAGGAGAAGAACGTGAAGGTTTCATTGAAGAATCAAAGTAAAATCCCAAGGGTAATGATGATCATAGCAGTTAAGCACTAAAGTGGCAGCTACTGTGCTAAGTGATTTAGGAGAATGGCTTCATTTCAGGTGCTACTATTATCCCCATTTTACAGAAGAGGAAATAGAAACTTTGAGAAATTAATTTGCTCAAGATCATGTGCATAAGCAAATTATTTAAGCACGGCTGAGATGAAACCCAGATTGTCTGTTGCTCTTAGAGCCTTAGGTGATAGGAAAACCTTCAAGGATTGGTCCCCAGTGTTAAGAAGTTCACTCATGATTGGTTCCAAAGAAGATTTGGAGTTGTTTCAAGCCAAGGAATGCCTGACAGGAGAAAAAACATATCTGAGAAACTGGTAGCTAGTAATAAAATCAGTCTCAGTAGTGTACTGATTCCCTCACAGTGGAAGACGAAAGTTGGCAAGAAACAGTCATAGAAAGCCTTCTCTTTTGCTCGAAAAGCCAAAGACATAGGTTGCTTAGATACCTGGAACAAGGTACATATTAAATATTTGTTGGATGAGTGGACAAACATAAAGAAGTTTCAAGGTAAAATGGTCCAAACTTTGGTATCAGAGTTATGCTGGCTTCGTAAAATTAGTTGTGCAGTGTTCCCTCCTCTCCTGTTTTTTGAAAGAAAATTTTATATATATGTAAATAAAAAATAAAAAATATATAAATATATATATATTTTTAGTCACAGCTTAGGGCTTATATAATATATCCTTAGTGTATCACAGTCCACTTAGAGTTAATATTTACTACCTCATATAAAATGTAAGACCCTTGTAACAGTGTGGTGTGTTTAGTCTCACATCATTTGTGCTGTTGTTGTCATATTACATCTACTTAGGTAATAAACTTCATAATACAGTGTTATGATTTTTTGCTTTGAATGGTCATATGTCTTTTAAAGAAATGAGAAGAAGAAAAATATAGTCTTAGATTTATCTAAATATTTTCCATTTATAGTGCTCTTTATTCTTGCTGTGTATTAGAGTTTCCATCTAATGTCATTTTCCTTCAGCCTGAAGAACTTAAGCTCTTCTTGTAGGGAGGTCTCCTGTAGATAAATTCTGTTTTCATTTGTTGACACAAATAATCCATAATCAATCTATAAATCAAAATTGGGGTGAGTTTATTATGAGCCAGGTCTGAGGACTATAGCGTCTGGGCTTCCTTCTCCAAGGAAGGAAGGGCACCAAAGAAGTGGGGTGTACAGAGTGGTTATATACTGTAGTGTTGCTGACTATAAAATTTCTGGAATGACATTTTTTTTTCTTTCTATACTTTAAAGTTCTACTGTCTTATGGTCTCTATTGTTTTTGATGAAAAGCCATCGTACATATTGTTGCTTCTCATCATGCAACGTGTCATTTTTCTATGGCTGCTTTCAAGATTTCTCTTTATCTTTGTTTCTTAGCAGTTTGGTTATGATATGCCTGGGTTTAGTTTTCTTTATATTTATTTTGCTGTGTTGCATTGGGCTTCTTAGATCTATAGCTTTGTTTTTTCCAAATTAGGAAATTCTGGGCCATTATTTCTTCATATATTTTTTTCTGCCACATTTGGTCTCTTCTTGCCTCTTGGGACTACAATTATATATATGTCAGATTGCTTATATTGTTAGACAGGTCACCAAGTTCACTGACCCTTTTTCTTGCCGTCTCTAATCTGCTGTTTTGTTTATACAGTGGATTTCTATTTAAAATATTGCACTTTTAAGTTCTAGAATTTATATTGGGTTCTTTTATTGGTTTCATTTCTTTCTTGAGATTCCTCATCTATTTATTATTATGACAGTATTTTCCTTTATTATGACAGTATTTTCCTTTAAGTCAGCTGGGTGGTAAGTCTAGTACTATTTACTCTGTCAGGGATGGAAGCAGCAGTTACCCTCCTTACCCTTTTTTTTTCCCCTGTAGGATGTACTTTGCATTGAATATTTGTACAATTCCTACCTTATTGGTATGGATCCTCCTTATTCTTTTAGGCAAAATTTCTTTTTCTTTTCTTAATGGAAGGATGTTTTGTTTTGTAACTTGTGTTCATTGCAAAAGTAGTCAGCAGGATCCCTGAACATTCATCGAGCAACTGTATTTATTGAGTGTCCACCATGTGCCAAGCGTTTTGCTAGGATGTAATGATGAACAGGATCCATATGACCTCTGTCTTTGTGGAGATAATAGTCTTCTACCTACACTATCTTCCCTAGTTTTAGATTTACACAGCTTGACTGATTTTTTTCTTTCTTTCATTTAACTCAAAGACTACTTCCTTTTGTTAGATGACAAAACTTGACTTCTCAGGCGGTGACTTTTTAGAGTTAGATTTTTGTTGTTTTTGGTGAGGAAGATCAGCCCTGAGCTAACATCTGATGCCAATCCTCCTCTTTTTGCTGAGGAAGATTGGCCCTGGGCTAACATCTGTGCCCATCTTCCTCCACTTTATATGGGACGCCGCCACAGCATGGCTTGACAAGCACTGCGTCGGTGCGTGCCCGGGATCCAACTTGCGAACCCCGGGCTGCTGAAGCGGAACGTGTGCACTTAACCACTGTGCCTCTGGGCTGGTCCCCTAGAGTTAGATTTTTAAATTAGCTTTAAAGTTGTGAAGTCCACTGTTTCATTGCAGCCCTCAAATATACCATTTAATATAAAATAATCATTTTGTGGTGTTGCTTAACTGCTATCACTTGCTTATTTACAAAATGAGTATTTCTTCATAAAATATCATATTTATATTAAATTAAAAAAATGTATTGTTCAGTTCACATAACATTAACCATCTCAAGTAGATACTTCTAAAAAGTCATCCAGAAACTGTCTAAATGTTAAATAATTCCATTTATAGTCATTTTAAAACCAGAGACATTTCATTTTAAAAAGTTTCAACTTTTTTCAAGTCATTTACATGACTCTTTTTGAGTTTTTATTCGTCATCTGTAAAGTAAGGAAATTGAAGTAGACGATCTTTTGAGATTCATTCCAGATTAAGCATTTTATATCTGATTCTAAAGCAAACATTTAGAGGTAAATGATTTTTTGGTAATAGTCATCTATTGCTACTATACTTCATTTTCTTTAATGTCGTCAATTTTCCATAGTACGTAATCTTTTGATTTTGAATCATATGTTATTGGCTGAACCTCTCTACCAAAACCTTAAGAGTTTTGAGAATTTTCTTGTAGTTACTACCTTGGTAGAAATCATTGTAATTGTAATGCTTTCCAGTGTCCAATCAATCAAATTTTTTTGGAGAGACAGTGTAAGCAGAGTGCATTACAGGCATTGGAGACAGACAGTTGGTTTCACGATTGGCCTTACCACTTTCTAGTCGTTTGAACTTGGCTAAGCTACTTAGCCTCTCTAACTTTCTCTTTCCTCATCTGTAAAAAAGGGGATTCTAATACTGCCTACCTACCCCGGAGTTATTATGATGACTAAATGAGATCATAAATATAGCCTTTGTAAAGTATGGAGTAAATGTTTGCCACTGTATTACTTTTAGG